GGGGGGGGGGGGGGGGTCTCTTTCTCATGCAGAAAGCTATTTACAGGGAAATGCGATGGATTAGCTGAAGCTCATCAATAGGGAGCGCCTGCTCACCCGGTGCTTTACAGACTGGCCACCAATCGAAGGGAATTTCAATATTTACCTACATCCTCGTTTTGTTAGTTGCAGTTAAGCAAACACGCAATTCGCTAATTCATGTTAGTGGATGAGTGAGACTTGTTTAAGTATTTTCCTTCCACGCTAATGATGATTCATTTGAATGACTTTAGGTGTGAATTTTGACTCACGGGCCATTGAATACAGATAAACAACAGGGTGGTTCGTTTTAACATCTATCCATGAGCCAATTTAACGATCATATTACAATTACATTAACTGGGCAGATAGTTTTGTTCTGACCTATTGTACATATGTTATTTGTCTGTCACACACACACACTCCTGCAAACAGAAGTATATAAAATGTATTCACACACTGTTGGAGTGAGATGAAATACACAAGGATTAAAGGCACCCAACACCACAAAGTCACATCACAAAATGCCAAAACAGTCAAAAGTGCATTCATCAGTCTACATGAATTAAATCGATCGTTTCATGTATTTGTTTTATACAGTGTGGCTCCGATGGCATTAGTACCCCTGCAGAGGCAGATCATGAGGAATTGTTTAGTGTTAGGCTGTACCGGAGATCTTTGAGTTCTGAAAATCATTTTCGAGCTGAGGTTAACAATTGTTTAGGTCCTTTTGATGAAGGAAAGCAAAGCAACAAATTACTGAAAAAGTCTAGTTTGTGTTGGCCGCTACAAAGTATTAACTTAAGGGGGCTGAATAATTTTGCACGCCCAATTTTTCAGTTTTTTATTTGTTAAAAACGTTTGAAATATCCAATAAATTTCGTTCCACTTCATGATTGTGTCCCACTTGTTGTTGATTCTTCACAAAAAATTACAGTTTTATATCTTTATGTTTGAAGCCTGAAATGTGGCAAAAGGTCGCAAAGTTCAAGGGGGCCGAATACTTTCGCAAGGCACTGTAACTTCAAACAGTCTGTAATTATTTCAGGATGATAAAACCAGAGAGCCTCTTCCTAAAAACAAGAGGATATTTCATGAACCCGAACACCTCCTATTGCCAGTGTTGTGTTGAAAGTGGACAGTACAATGAACCGCAGCAGCATAAATTGATTTGAATTTCTCCTCCATAGATGGGTAAACAATGGTATATGTACTGATGAAAAGAGATGTGTAACACTCTGAACAAAGTGGGTAATTGGGAAACCCCATATTTTAACTGGCATAATGCAGACATAGTAACTTCTCCAGCCTTACAACAATTGTAACATGAACGTCTGGAGATTATGACCATTCAAGGAAATCCTTAAACTATCACTTAATATTTTATTTTGTTAGAAAAATAAGTCTCACAAGTGAGAGTTTGCGTGAGTTGTATAAACGGAGTTTCTTCTGCATAGAAGTAATAGAAAATACATAACTACTCATTTTTTTGAGCTTTAGGTCATGTCTAAGATTATAATTCACCATTGTAGCATGCCATGGCCTTTTTAAATCAGTATGTGTCAATATGTGTTGTTGCTATGTTATTTTTAATGTGTATAGCAGGGACTCTTTACTCCCTGTCGGTGCTGTTTTATTTCTTAACACATTTGTTGACTAGTCATAACCATGAAGTCAAGCTGCATCAATGGAAAGGTGTTTGAGTGGAGTATTATTTCTAGGAGGAGCTGCTTCAGAGCCGGTGTCCGCTACTATGTCCGAGGTAACACTACTGTCCACTCCACTGAGCCCTCATTTCCACTAGATGCATCTGCAGCACAGTTTTACTGCTCTATGTCTCTGTCACTGTTCAAATGTGAAGTGTCTTCTGTCTTCTTTGCAGACTTATGCCAGTATTGTGTAGCTACTGTACATTCTACTGTTATTTTGTTTTGCAGTCATATTAAAAACACATTTGCAGCTCATCTGAGATGGGTAGAACTATATCAAAATCAAAATCAAAGATTTTTATTGTCAGTTCACTATATGTGCATGACATACAGAAAAATTGAAATACTGTTTCTCTCTCACCTAATGTTGAATGCCCATACCATTTAAGAAACAAATAGAATAAAAGTAGAATAAACACAGAATAGATAGAATATGAAAACTGAATTCAAGTTATAAGGAATAACTAAATGGTACAACCTAATAGGCTATGATGAAACTCAAAGCCATGTGCAAACGGTGACAGTAGTGCAAATAATAACAAGAGGATTGTCAGGTGGTCAGCATCACCAGGGGTGTTGGTGATGGAATGCATAATAACTTATGAAGTGTACATGGACAGCAGTGCAAATGACCAACAGCAGCAGATATGATGGTAAAAAGAGCAGCCAGCAGCAGATTTACCTGTAATATAACAAAAAGAGGAATGTACTGGGTTTGTGCAAACAGCAGAGGTAGTCTTTTTATGTTCGGTGGTGGGTTATGGTCCCAGGGGCAGAGCGGGGGAGGTGCTGGACAGTGTTCAGCATCCTCACAGCCTGGTGGATGAAGCTGTTTGTAAGTCTGGTGGAGTGGGCCTGAAGACTCCAAAACCTTCTGCCTGAATGTGGGAGTGTGAGGGGTGAGAGGTGTCATCAGCAATGCTGATGGCTATGCGGGTGAGGCGGGTGTTGAAGATGTCCGTAAGGGAAGGCAGGGGGGCACCAATGATCTTGCTGGCTATTTTCACTATGCGTTGCAGGATCCTTCTGCAGGAGGCAGTACAGGCTCCGTACCACACAGTGATGCAGCCAGTGATGACACTCTCAATGGTGCCCCGGTAGAAGGAGCACTTGATGAGGAGGGGTGGGGCACTGGCTCTCCTCAGTTTGCGGAAGAAGTAGAGGTGTGTTTGAGCTTTCTTCTACTGCTTCTATTCTACTGCTGACTCCAACAAATGTGGCAAGGTCTTCAGCACATGGCAGACTACAGGACCGTCAACACATTCTACACCCACTTTGAGACCTTCAGCCACAGAACAGAGAGGAGGCACACACACACCGAGACCACTCAACCCCCCACCTCCCCTCCACTAATTGTCTCACCAGGCCAGGTATGCACAGTCCTGAGGAAGATCAACTCCCGCAAAGCAGCAGGACCGGACAACATCCCTGAGAGGTTTCTCAGGGCATGTGCCAGTGAGCTGGCTAATGTTCTCACCACCATCTTCAATCTCTCTCACCACCATCTTCAATCTTTCCCTCAGCTAGAGCATTGTTCCCACCTGCTTTAAGACCACAAAAACACCTTCCACAAAGACAACATCATCCTGAAGTTTGTGGATGACACCGCAGTGATAGGTCGCATCACTGGCGGGGATGAAGCAGCTTACAGGAGGGAGGTGGCCGGTCTGGTGTCATCGTGCAAGGACAATAATTTCAGCCTCAACACGGACAATACGAAGGAGATGATAGTGGACATGAGGAACACCACACAGCTTAACACCACACAGCTAATCAAGAAAGCCCAATGGCGGTTGTATGTCCTGAGGAGGGTTGGCATGTCGCCTAGGATCCTTTGCAACTTCTA